TGTACCTTATGTTGAATGAAATGTTATCCAATATAATATTATATATAATATTCAATCATTTTCTGTTTCATTTGACCATGTATTAAACAACCATAAAATTCAGCAATCCTGAAAGAAAATGCCAAAGTTTATAAATAAGTACAAATGTTATAAACATGTAATGATGGAAGTTGTGTGTATCCTTTTTTTGCAGGGCAAGTGGAAACCAAGAATGATTCCAAACCCAGACTACTATGAAGATCTCACTCCATACAAAGTGACCCCATTTGTAAGTCCAGTATAGCATGATTCCTACTTAAAAAATGTCAACTTCATCATGGGAGATATGACACTGCTTTATATATACAAGATCCAGTAAAAGTCTTCTGGATCAAATATATCTGGATATTCGGCTATTGTAATTATGCCCCTTCCCCTCCTTCCCCTATATAGAGCTTCATACCTAAGTGCTTACATTTTTTAAGGCCACTTTCTTCTCTGTACAAAAGTACTGCAAATTACTTTCAAACAAGTCAGTGGTTGTTACTGTGAGATAAAAAAATTTGATGCATCAAACTGGAATTTCTATGCGTTTTTTAAACTTCTTTTTAATTTTTCAGTCGGCTGTAGCATTAGAGCTTTGGACAATGACAGAGGACATTTTGTTTGACAACTTCATCATCACAGACAGCAAAGCCACAGCAGACTCACTTGCTGAACAGACCTGGGCTTTGAAGAAGAAGGAGGAGGAGAAAAAAATTAACTCATCAGGAGTAAGATTGTGAAAAGAAATATTCAAGATTTTATCATTTAACTTCTTTTTTTATTTTATTTTTTTATTAATTCTTTTTACTTTAAGGATTCAAAAAAAGTAGAAATTGAAAATTATAATGCCTTTTATTAGATATAAAATACTCAAGGCAAGTGGTAAATTTCCATTAATATTTCATTTTGCAGTCTCTCTGCTAAAATATCCTTCAAGAAAAGAAAATGAAATCAAATTCATTATATTGCATTTGGAGTGTTGAATTTCAAAGTTTGTTAAAGATCGATAGTACATGTTTGAATTTTTTTCTTCTTTTGCTTATACATAAGCTTTATGGACAGGCATTTTCTTCAACCTTTGTTTTCAGAAAAGTGTTATAGATGCAGTCATGGATGCTGCACAAGAGCGTCCCTGGCTCTGGGCCGTTATTGCCCTCGTAGTAATCCTCCCTGTTGTCTTAATAGTAGCATATTGCTGTATGTCCTCTGATAAACCATCTCAGGTAAGAGGGCGAGACTGATTTGAGTCCTGTCAGCAGATGTGAGATTCAGTGGGGTCAAGGTCGTATCAAATGGATCATGGGATAGCTGGCCTACAAGTCTTCTGAATGGCTGGAAAATGTTGAAAAAAGGTTGCTTAAGATAAGCAAGCCAACACCATTTTCTGTCAAGCGGTTACCCCCACTGAGTTTCACCTTGCTGATGTTTTTATCATTTGTTTTTCAACTGTGTGTTTTCTTCTGTAGGTCGGCATATTCCGACAGTTAAAGGATGCTGCTGAGGAGCGTAAATGGCTGTGGGGTGTTTACGCATTTGTTATTCTCATGCCTGTAGTTGTTTTATCAATTATTTGTTGTCCAAACAGAGGCCCTCTTAAGGTCAGTTTGGCCTTTGTTTATTTTATGTTATTTATCCTTTTCAACTTATTTCCTTTGAAATGAATTTATCTATTTATTCAAAATTGTATTGAAAATTCTGATTTCGTGGAGAATTTGAACTTGGAGAATTATTTGTGTCCAAATTTCTGTTGTCTGAACCTTTTTAAGTTTTAGTTTTCTTTAGTTGGTTGCATGATTTTTACTCACTAATTAGAGCAAAAGTAACATCAAGTATAGTATATGAATCTGATTTGTTAGAATAAAGAAACCATTGCTTTTTTTCCACCAAGCTAGACATTTTGTTTGGGAGGTTTTTGAGAAGTGAATGTTTCTCATCACTACAGTATGAAAGTGTTTCTTTTACCAGAAAAAGCATCAAGTAAAATTCCCTTTGAATGAAAATATGTGCAGATTGAATATATCATTTTGTATGCTTTAGGTTGATGACATTGCTGCTAGAAAAAAATTTGATGATGAAAAGACAGAAGCAGAAGAAGAGAAAGAGGAGGAAAAAGCTGGAGAGGAAGAGAAAACAGGTAACATTTCTGTTTTGAATTGATATGTTTTTTAATTCTTTACAAGTAAATTAAGTAGTAAAAAAGGAAACAAGATTAATTTGTGCTTGCAAAAGCTTAATGCAAAGGAATTTTAAAGGATATCTTGAAAACAACCAGCACATCCTTAAATTTTAAAGGACGCAGAGAGGTCTAGTTTTGAAAGTTGATATCTACAGAACAGTGTGATATTTTCTTAAAATAAAGTGATGTAAATTGGTTGAATGATCTCAGATGTGCTGAATAAATGACAGTTAAGTTTGATTTTTAATTTTAAATTTATTTATTTTATTTTTATTTTATTATTATTTTTTTAGACCATTTATTAAATTGTATTTCATGTATTGCAGAAGCTAGTGAAGAAAGCAAGGCAGGTGGAGATGCAGGAACAGGTGTGAGGAGGAGGACAAAGAAAAGTGACCTAGAGGTAGAGGAGGAGGTGAGTTGTCTGTACATAGTCTGATCACCTCTGTCTGTTTATGTTGTACCTGACATTTAGCTTGACCAAATTTTACATTATATAACCCAGCATGTATATTGACAGTGAAATTGATTTTGATTATTTAGCAACAGTTTTATTATCTTAAAAAAACGTTTCAGAACAAGGAAGGTGATGATGAAGAGGAAGAAGAAGAAGAGGAGGCTAGTGAGTCACAAAGCAATAGTTCACCAAGGTAAGGATTTTTTTACCATTTAGATGTACAGTTATTTCTTACAAATTACAAATTAATTATGGTGATATGTTATAATAGGTAAAAAATAATGCTTTAATAATGAAACAAAAGAAATAACCATTTTCTGTACAGTTTATACAAAATACTTGTCATTATAAGTTTAATGGGTCTCATATTTTTGACATGATTAATCAGAACTGTGGAGTAGGCTATCATTTTTTTCATCAGATACATATTTATGAGTCTTTTAATATTAATATTTCTATTGGGGTGAAAAATTTAATTTAATCCTATCTATGTTTTTGCCTTTCAGAAAATCTCCTAGGAAAAGAAAACCAAGGAAGGACTAGGGTATAGCAGCAAGAAAATGTAGTTAGATAAGAATAAACAATTACCGTGATTTCAATATTTTACAAACAGTGGGCATCAATCAATTTTTACAACAAGTCTTGTATATACTACTACATGAATTGAGCTTGCTACTTTTGTTACTTTGAATTTTGTTAACTTTTTGTGTCTGTGTCTTGTGATTGTCAGACTGCTGAGGTTGGACTTTCTAAATGTTAATTATTACATATAACTGACTGTCATTGGGGAAATCAAAAATGACAAATCTTTTTGCTATCTTTGTTGATATTATTGTCCAAACCATTGAAAAAAAACCAAGGTGTATAGAAATTTAGTGTGTTTTCAATTTCATTAATTGTTAATGGAAAATAAAAATTGGAAAAAAAATGGACATGGTTTTTCTAATTTAACTTTTCAGGCAGTGTGTTATTCGTATTGAGCCACTGTCACGTTATTATGTCCTCCTATATTTATACTACTTACCTTTCCCAATTAAGATCTTAAAAGTCATATAGCACCTCAAATAAAAGTAAATGTATTTCCTGAAATTTCAGGAAGATCATGGCAAGTCTAATATCTGGTCAAATACTTTGAACTAAATAATTTAATTAGAAATTTTATAAAATGTTGTTCATAAGTGTAAGAACTGGTTGAGCAGCAGTCCTTGAGTTGGAAAAATTGCCTTTTTTTCTTCAGGAAAATTTGATTTAAATACCCTACTGTCTTGATTTATATATCCATGCTTATTATAATACTTGGCACATTACTAATTTCAAATGTGAGCTTTTTCTGCAGAAAAGCCGAATTTCGCTTTTTTTTTTTAAATTCAATTTTGATGGTTCCTGAATTCGTCAAGGTTTGGTGTTGGGTCCTGTGATAAATGTTCTAAGATGTTTTTTTTTTAACCTAGGCTTGTGTCTGAATAATTTGTAAGAGTGTGTCAGTTAATCTTATAGTATTTTTACACCATTTCAATGGAAAGAGTTTTTACTTTGGAAAAAGGATTGATAAAAGTTAATCTGTCCTGAAATGATTTCTGATAATGCCCTGAAGTAAAATGAATAATCGGAAAAACAGCTGTTGCTTTGGCACACATCACCTAGCTTGACCACAAACATTAAGTCCTTGAAAATATTATTGTAACAGTTGTGCATTGCAACTTTCCTAAAATGTGAAACTATAGGCTGATAAGTGGGAAATTAAAAGCTGATGGAGGAACTGGAAAGATTTATTTATGAAACAATATTACTGGTACATAAAACTAATTTCTTGAAAGACAACTTGCTGATGGTACTCTAAAAAACATTTCCACGGCTTCAGTGTAATTTATTAACTTGGGGATTCTAATGTTTTATTGACCTATTTGAAGTGGGATAAGCTTGGTTTAATTTAGTCTGAATCAAGCCTTCTCTTCCAATTTTCCACTTCATCATTATCAGTGACAAGTCATTTTTTATGGTGCCTCTGAACTTCCTTTGTAATAGGCAAGTTTTAGCTTAATTTATCAGGCAAGTGCAAAATCCATTGCAGAAAGTTCAAAAGGGCACTATTCTTTTAATAGGTGGATGCCATATGGAATAAAAGACAGCCTTATTTGGAGTAAATAATATAATATAATATAATATTGATACATACTCTTACACAAGATTACAAATAACAGGATGTCCTGATGAAAATTACTGTTCTAGAGTTTGATTGTGAATAGATAAATTCCATGAAAAATGATGTCATGTTTGATCAAATTAGATTCCATGAGTTGAATGGGGAACATTCAACTTTTCCAATGTAGTACAATTTTTATTTTAAATCATATTTGGAGCTTGAAATAAAAAAAAATTCTGGTAAATATTAAACAAATGATATAGTATAGTTTGATTAAAAATCACTAAGACAGACCTGACCAATCCATCTTATCATTGTGTGAACATGACCAGAGTAAACAGAGTCTCTCCAGGTGTATACACACACTGTGTGCTTAACAGGCAGGGAGAGGAATTTTCAGCCATGCCTTTTCCAAGTACTGGATCTATACCAGGCATGAGTCACCTACACTGCTGTGATGAATACATGTAACCACAGAGGCTTTTATATATCTGGGTTGGTTTTGCTGTTCTCTTTGTAACTGCTGTGATATCATCATATACACATGGAGGAGGATGTTGTAAGTCTGCTTTTTAATTTTTTTGTTGTTACTTTATTAATTCTAGGACTTCATCAGCTTCTTCTGTGTTTAGTTTGTATATTTAATTAAATTGTTTTCTGTTAAATGCTTAGACTCGCACTCTCTCTCTCTCTCTCTCTCTCTGTTCATATGTCTGTTTGTTTGAGAAGTTCATCAGGGGCCATCAAATATATACATCTGTACATATCAACCTGTTTAATTGGGTCAGCCACTAATTTATGTACCAGGCTCATTCATTCCTACATCAACACATGTCCCCCCCCAGACTGCAACTTGGCAGTACTAAGTACATGCATATGATGACTAAACTGGTCCATACATATTGCATGTTGATATATATATATAGTTGTACTGTATAACATGTATCAGCCAGTACATGATTTACCTGTCCAAATATTTCACGCAGACCTCTTTGTGTGTATGTGTGAGTGTGTCATAATGTATGGTTCTGATCTCAAGGTTGATAATATACTGGGTACCTACATGTAGGTTACATAAAAATTAGGGTTTTAACCTGCCTTGTCCTCAATTCTGTATGATTTCAGTAGGAGATATAAAGGATAAATTTAAGTATCTGCTGAGACTAATTTAAATGATGGAAATCATAACGTGAAGTAGGGGGTTATCTTCTTCATTGTGTTTGATGCCCTTTACTGATAGTATTATTTTTGTATATTAGGAAACAATTTAACTTAAAGGGATAATAACTCTTCGTATGAGATCTATATTTCACAATAAAAACCTTGTGAATAACTCGTAGAAATATAATATATTCTGTTTTACCACAAAAACAGCAGTTATAGCTATTATTCTGATATCTGAGCTTGTCTTTAGACCACGTGACCTCCATTGATGGCTATACTCTGTTAAAATCTCTTAAGAGATTTTAACAAAAAACCAAACTTTTTAGAAAAAAACCAGAGACCAACTTTGAATGTAAAAATGGATTCATTAACCATTGGAAAGTATGGGAAAATTGTTGTTTACTCCAGGAAAATTCATTTTTTGGCCGAAACGAAGAGTTATTATTGCTTTAATTAACTGTGTTTCCAGAAATCTTGTGAAATTAATAGACCGACAACTTTAGCAATGTCCACCTGTGAAGAAAGAGGTACTCTCAGTGGTATGTTTTATTTACATTTATAATTCCTTTTTCTTTTCCAATTTTCTTTATTTCTGTTTATAGTTGAGACATTCATTTATACTTTGATTTTCATTATTTGCCAATTTATCAGTTTCTTTTGCCATCTTCTGAAGAGTTTTCAGTATTATTGTCATTCACTTAAATTTCTTTCGTCATATATATTAACAAATTCTAAGTATGTCCCATGGGCAAATTAATGTTACTTATTAAAAATTTTACATGATAAATGATATCTAATATATAATCAATATGCAATATGCTTTACACATATTTTATGAAAACAGATTGCAGTGATAATGCCTGACATTTCATTGAAGGGTTTGGAAATCCACTCTGTACTCCTAGAGGGGAGGAAGACACATCCCCTGGGCCAACAGGAGTGTCACCAGAGTTACAAGAACTGTCACCAAGGTCCCAAGAAAGACTAAGGCAGCTTAAAATAGATTTGTCACAAGGGAAAGGTGTGTATGTGTTTTACATGATAGCTTTGAACCCTGTGTTGGACAGTTTGGTACCTGATAGTGAAGTTTTTTTTTTAATTAGATTATCAGTATCATGATTGATCACATGCAATACATATCAGTATGGAATTCCCTGATACTTATTAATATTGTTACAGTAATGATATTTGGGGCATTTAATTGGAATTTAGATAATAATTTTAAAAACTTCAGCCATGGATTTGATAATGAATTAATCTAAGTTACTGTACACCAGGAATTCTACAAAGTGCTGCATTTCAAAAATAGGTTTATTATTTATCATTACATACAATATATCTTGATTTTCAGCTAAACTTGAGTATGACAAGAATAACAAAGTCCGAGTGAATTACTGTGATGATAAATCTAGCCAATTCAAGTATGTTAATGATTTGTAGCTCACGTATTCTATTTTCACATATTTTAGGCTGTTTTGATTGATTATTAATACAGTTTCACTTAAACTGTAAGTTTTACAAGTCATGCCTTCATTTGTTTTCCAAATGTACCACATAATATTCAAGTGTATTAGTGTATTTGACTATAATAGCTAATAAATTCAAATTTGTATGCCAACAATGCTGATACATTTATAAATATATCCTGTGTAATTTTCTCTAATTTTCAAATATTCCTTTGAAGAATGAAAGATATTGGCAAAGTATTAGAAACAGACCAGGAAAATAAAGAAGAGGTGTTGAATCGTGTAATGCAGGTCATCGAGTTCATGAAATCCCAAAATGCACCACAGGGAGCGGCTTTCAACTCTGCAAAGGTACGAGTAACAGAATATGAAAAAGGCTTATATATATATATATATATATATATATATATATATATATATTATTTAAATTATTTCTTGTGATTTAAAGGACACAACATATTTTTCATATATTGTAAAGACTCATTTTCATTTTCATTCACGTGCGCAAGTGTCTCGATTCCATGGCCCCGTATCTCGAAATAGAATCAGTTATGGAATCGAGACACTAACACACATGCACAACATAGCGAACCTTTCGAGATACGGAGCCCTGATCTCAATATCACACTATACTATTAGCTTTCATTATGAAATATCTTTTTGTAAGTCATAATAGAAAACAATGTTCTGTATGGACAATGTTTATGCATAATTGTTTAACAAACTGTGCTGACCTAGCTAGCATCCCTAATCAAAATAAGTGAAAAAGAATAAATATAAATGCCAGTCAAGCAAATACTTTAATATTTTAGACTAAACCACAGTATGGATACTATGAAAAAGGGCAGCATTATACAATGAACATGGATCAGATTTTGGGAGGAGGAGTACATGGGAAAGTTGTTATGGTCTATGATGAAAAAACTAAAGAACAATCAGCTTTTAAAAAGGTATGTAGAAAAAAGACATACTTTTAGTCCTAAAATGCTGCAGATTTTGAGTGTTTGATGGTAATATGTTGATTTATTCATTGAATTTTTAATGGGAATCAGTTAAATTCACTCAATGCACTTGGTATGTCATGAAAAAATGGGAAAATGATGCTGCTCTTACTTAGTTATTTCTTTTTTTCTTTATATTTTATATTATTCCATATCTCAGGTAATGTTACTAGACTTCAGGGAAGAGGAGATAAGAGCTTGGGTGGCTATGGAAGATAATCCACATTTTCCAGAGCTGTACATGCTTAAAGTAGAGGGAGACAAAGTATTATTATTTATGGAACCCTTACAGCCAAGTAAGACTTTACAGTTGTTTTAAAATCTTTGAAAATACATGTATAGATATGGAACTATTAATATGTCCAGCTAGCTATTATGAAAGTATGCATATACCTATCATGAATTAATATATCAATTTGTTTTACTTTATTAATTTATTTACTTATTTATTTATCTTAGAAATTACTTTGACTGAAGTCATAGACCAGTATTTTTCCCAGCTTCAAAGACAAGGTCCAGCAGCCCAGTGGTCATTTTCCATCTTTGTGGTCAAAGGTCTACTTGAAGCCATCCAAGCTCTTCATGAAAAGGGATACACACACAATGATCTTCACAGTGAGTTACAAAAACTTAGATAAAGCTGACAGTGAAAGTCATTGGAATATTTAGAATGTGCCAATTAAAACCACATAAATGTGTCAGATATCTAGTTCACGCAGTTAGCCATTGGACTTCCTGTCTACACACAAATTGTACATGTACATGTATGTACAGTGTATTTCAAGGAATGGTCACAGTTATTGCCTTAAGAGGCATTAAACAGGATTTTGAAATGAAAAAATGAACATGACTGTATTGGTTTTGAAACTCAAGCATGTAACAGACTACGTTATATCATTTAAGAGAGTTATATATGTGTATCTTTGACTTACATGTGTAAAAGCACAGACTGTACTAATTACATTTAAGACAGCTTAATTCCCATGCCTTTTTTTATTTGCAATTTATAGACACTTCTGCAACAATACATTAATTTCTATTATATTGATTACTTTTATATTTTTGCAGCTGGTAATATTCTCCTTGAAGACACCAAGTCTAGTATGGAAGTCAAGGTTGTTGACCTTGGCCTTGCTGAGGTCATTCCTAATCCACTGACAGTGACCAGCAAGGCCAAGGTCACAGATGACCTGTGGAACATCCTGAGAACTTTCATTGCACTTTGTGCTGGGTATACATTTGAATCCACTTATGACATGACAAAACACTGGAGAGATGCATTACATTATGTAAGTTCATTATGTTGAAAGACAATGCATGGGTTTGCACAAATTGGCATTAATTCATTCTTGGTTTAGAAACATTTTGACAAGAAACATCTTTGCACCTCGAAATGATTGCATGCATTGAATCTTTTCTAATTCACTATTCTTTTTTTAATCACTGCAAAAAAATCTTATAAAATAAAAAAAAAAACCTTTTTGCTCTTACAGAGTTGGTGGGAAGGGGGGCTCAAAAATTAAATGACCTTTTTACAATGGCATAGAACTTAGATCAAATGTTCATTCTGTTCAAAATATTAATTAACCTTAACCTGAACTTCTTTATATATTTTCAAGGTTGATGAATCATTTCGTAAAGAATTTGAGGAAATTGTTGCTTTTTGCATTGATGCTGCTTTAAACTTTGCTACGGAGCTTCCAGCTGGAAAACTACTTAATAAATTGAATGAGGCTGGAGACATTGCTGAAGGTGAAATTTTTTTTTTAGATATTTAAGTATCGAATAAATAAGTATTTTGAAACAAGTTTATTCTGCAAGTATACAACACTTTCACCATTAGGCAAAGGCAGAATAGGCACCGGCCTTGTCTATGATTTTCCCAGTTGATTCATTAATTTGTTATTTAGCTGACCCAGTAAGATTGGTCTGAACCCCTACCGTTTGTTCTAAGATTAATTAAAGGGATAATAACTTTTCGTATGAGATCTATATTTCACAAAAACATTTTTCAGAAAAAAAACAAAGACTAACTTTGAATGTAAAAATGGATTCATTAACCATTGGTAAGTATGGGAAAATTGTTGTTTACTCCAGGGAAATTCATTTTTTGGCCAAAACATAGTTATTATCCCTTTTATAACCTTATTCTGTNTATATTTTTTTGCATGTTTTGAGAATTCTTGTTGATTGCATTTTTTACAGCTTGTCAAGCACAAGACTGGTGGTAGTGTCCCTTATTTGTGTGTGTGTGGGGGTCTATACGATCGCGCTTACTCCAGCTGGTGGTACAATATTCAGAGGTGGTATCGCCTCTCTGATCCTCTAGTTAAAATTTGATGTTGAATTTGCAGTTTAACATAATGTACTTTTGCATCAGAATTGACAGTAGCCTATTTTGTTATTTCCTGTTTTTTGTCTGTTCATTTGACAGCTTTGCTGCCTTGTTTAAATATAGTTATTTGTGTAGTCTGTTACTTCAAGTTTTTAACCAAATATTTGAATTCTGTTTTCAGGGAAATGAAATGCAGATTTTTGTCTGCTGTTTGAATAGAAGAATTGATCCATCAAATGGCTCTCTTTCCCCCTCTTTCTTTCTTTCTCTCTCTCTCTCTCTCTCTCTCTCTCTCTTTGTCATTTTGTGTCTGGTCTGATTTTAAAATTCAGGAAATTATATTAACATTTTATTTCAGACCTGAAAGATTGCATGAGTGTTTTGAAAGGTATCTTCTTTAGTGATGGTTTCATGCCAATTCACCCAGATCAGACAGACAAGGTAATTTTCACTACATTAATGTAATATAAAAAATAAGATAAGAAAATTGTCATTTTTTAAATGTAGTTATTTTTGATCAAGGCAATGTGTAGTCTATTAGTTCAAGTTTTTAACCAAACCAAATATTTGAATTCTGTTTTCAAGGAAATAAAATGCAGATTTTTATCTGCTGTTTGAATAGAAGAATTGATCTAAAAAATCTCCAGCACACATTGTTTGAATTCATCTATTTTATTTACACCTACTGGTATCTTGGTCAATTTTCTGACTTTTCACTTAGACGACCGCAGAACCCCAGGCTGTCTTTGAGATCAATGACACACTGAGCAAAGAAGTGCATATGAATTTAACTGAGGAGCAAAAAATCGCAATTGAAAAGCTTTTCAAGCAAAAAGGATGGTCAAGTCCGGTAATTCACCTTTTTAAATTATTTATGATAAGTAAATCGTGAAAATTTTGACATTTGACCACACAAAAAGATGTTGTTGTTTAAATGGGCAAAATCTGTCCACCCTGTGACTTTGAAATTCCCCCTCTATAATGCTATGCCTGTATCATCCTAGATCTATGTTAAAAAAAGAAATTTTGTTTACCATCCCTGTTTACAGAGAGTTGCCATTTGTTAACCAACTTATCAATTTTGTATGACCTTATGGTATATTAGCTACTACATATTTATCAGCAACTCATGTTTTATTTTAAAACTTCTGATAGGAAATGTAGAAAACATCTCAAATTACAGCTTCATTTTTTACTTTTTAATTTTCAGATTAAATGTGAAGAATCAAGTGACCTGGAAAGAAGTTTTAAGAAGATGGATCTTTTGGAAACGGTAAAAGCCTTCAATTGTACTGCTTTAATTGATGGCAGCAGCCAGAATGAGATATTTCTTCTCAGCTGGTGGTCCACATATAATCAAGTGTGATTATTGTGTAAACAGCATGTCTAAGCTCATTGACTTTAGGGGAAATTAATACACATTTGATAATATATATTGATATGTTGTGAAAACAAAATTACTGAAAAAGAAACAATTTTGGGTACTTGTCAGGCTAGAGCTCTCCCTCCCCCTCCCTGCACGCACGCGCGCGCACACACACACACACAGGTGCTTATATCTTATATTTGAAAATTAATATATGTTTGTATTCCAGGATGGAATAGAAGATACACAGTGTGACCTGACTGACCATAAGGCTGGCCACAGTACGGACTAGAAACCTGCCTATAGGTCTTTAAGAATGACGTATCTGATGGGAAGACTTCATGAGTTAGAGCTCAGTCTGTCTCATTAAACTGCAGATATAACAAGGGGGGGGGGGGGGGAGATAGTGTTCATATGGGTTACTTTGTAAATTAAGATAAAATTATACATGAATTTGATTTAGAGCATGTTGCAAAATAGCATTGACAATCTTTTATGCTTTTTATGTACAGACACAGATGTGTCTGTACATATAGCCATCACCTGCGTCTGTCGTCGCCGTCGTTGCCGTGCACTTTTAACGATAACACGATAAGTGGAAAACCATTTTACCTTTTGGCTTGAAACTTACAGAACTGATGAATATTCATAATATGCAGGTCAAGTTCGAAAATCAGCATGATCGGGCTATTAATATGGAAGTAATGCAGTTTTTTCACTTTTTTCAACATTTATGCAACACCGATAACACAATATTTGAAAAACCATTTTACCTTTTGGCTTGAAACTTACAGAACTGATAAATATTCTTAATACGCAGGTCAAGTTCGAAAATCAGCATGATCGGGCCATTTTCATGGAAGTCCGCTGTTTTTTCACTTTTTTCAGCATATATGCAACCCTGCTAACACGATAAGTGAAAAACGGCTTTACTTTTTGGCTTGAAACTTACAGAACTGATGAATATCTATAATACGCAAGTCAAATTGGCATGATCAGAGCATTTTTATAAAAGTTTTGCTGTTTTTTTCACTTTTTTTCAGCATATATGCAACACCTATAACACATTTTAAGGAAAATCGATTGGCCAATCGTCTTGAAATTCACAGTAGTGATCAGTGTTACTGAAATACACATTAAGTTTTGAAAATAAGCTTGATCAGTAAAGGTATGGTGAAGTTATGCCTTTTTCCTTAAATTTAATTATCAGGCATGTTAACAGTCTCATTTTTGAACTATTTAGATATGTTAAGTTGTTCTTTTGACATTTTCTGCATCTTAACAACGTTGTTAGTT